TTGCAGTGAGCTGAGATCACACCACCGCACTCCAGCCTAGGTGACAGAGCAAGATTCAGTCTCAAAAACAAAACAAAACAAAATCTCTTCCTATAGCTAACTCCCATTTACCACCCCCAGCATGAACATTCTTGATGTATTTACATGGTTTCTCCTTGGAACTTCCTCTTTTTCTTCTTTCTTAACGGTTGCTATCAAATACCCTGAAAAAAGAAACAAAAACAAAAAACCTCCTCTGAATGTCCCTTATTCACCCTTCCAATGCTACAAGTCTGTAACTCTCATTTTCTTGTTAAAAAAAAATTTTTTATTATTATTATTTTTTCCAGACGGAGTCTTGCTCTGTTGCCAGGCTGGATGCAGTGGCATGATCTCGGCTCACTGCAACCTCTGCTTCCTGGGTTCAAGTGATTCTCCTGCCTCAGCCTCCTGAGTAGCTGAGATTACAGGTGCCTGCCACCATGCCCAGCTAATTTTTATACTTTTAGTAGAGGCAGGGTTTCACCATGTTGGCCAGGCTGGTTTCAAATTCCTGACCTCAAGTAACCCACCTGCCTCAACCTCCCAAAGTGATGAGATTACAGGTGTGAGCCATCACGCCAGGCCAAAATTTTTAAATTTTAAAAAATATATTTTATTTTTTGTAGAGACAGGGTCTCACTTTGTTGCCCAAACTGGTCTTGAACTCCTGGGCTCAAGTGATCCTCCTGCCTCAGTCTCCCAAAATGCTGGGATTACAGGCACAAGCCACCACGCCCGATGCTTAATTTTCTTCTGATGAATTCACATATATATGCACAAATACTGTATGCTAAATTGTACTTACCGATGTACTTTTTTTCACTGTGCTTTTTTTTTCTTTTGCCCAGATATTTTTCTCATATAAACATTAGCTCCTTAATGGGAGCAAATGTACCAGTTTTTTTTTTTTTTTTTTTTTTTTTTTAACGGATCTCCTCTGTCCCCACTGGTGCATGCCATCTCACTCCTGCAGCTCCCCTTCCGTCCCGCCATCTCCTCCTCAGCCTCCCGATACTGCTACACGCCCCACCTCGCCCTAGTTTTTTTTTTTTTTTTTAGACGGTTCCCGTTAGCCAGGATGGTCTCGATCTCCTGACTCTATCCACCCATCTCGGCCTCCCAAAGTGCTGGATACAGGCTTGAGCCACCGCGCCCAGCCCAGTCTTTTTTTTTTATTCTCACCTGTAGTGAGAATATAAACATTTTTTACTGATCCACCAATACTGAACCCTTTTGTTTCTAATAGTTATATTTACTTTAACTGAATAAATTACACATGGGACAAAAATGTTATTTGAGGGATGAAGGTGGGTGTTTGCTCAGGGACAAAGTTGATGGTGCCTTTGTGAATTTATCAAAAAGACCATCGCGATGGCTAAATAATAGAAGGCTAAATAATAAAAATTGTTTTATTGGCAATATCAGTTTGCAAACCCGGAAGATATAGTCTTCAGCATATGCCGAATGTGCTCTCTCTTCAAAGAGGGGAAGGACAAGTTGGGTTTCATGCCTCACAGGGCCCATGTCACACAATGGAGTCATACATATTCAGCAGGTTTGGAGGAAAAGATATACATATTTATGAGGGGAGCTGAGTGCATGGGCAATGGGTAAACGCGTATGTGACATACATCCCATATACACTTTGGGGCAGGGTTTTCGTGTTAAAATGAGGTAGAATTTGGCTCTTTACATCAAAAAGTGGACTACAGGACCCAAAGGCAGTTTGTGGACGGCCTCCATAAACTGGCTGAAACTGGCTTCAGGTCTGCAATTGCTTCTCAGAAAAGAATGCTTGTAAGGGTGATCCTCAGTCCAATCAGAGTTGCAGTGGTCTGGGTTGTAAATCAGAGGATGGGTCTGATAGTTCCTATTATTAGGGAGTTTAGAGCCATAGAAATTGAGAAATTGGTCATGCCAGCCAGTCCCCGAACCCTAACCCTGCAGGTAACTTTGTTTCCTTAACCTTACAGTCCCTCTTAGGTGATAAAGGAGTGCCTGTTTTGGTATCCCAGATCACAAATTGTTGGTTGGTTTGTGTGTTTGTTTCATCATTCAGGATGTTGTTTCACTAGGCAATGTGAACCTGAATTCTCAAGGCTTGTCAGACTGTAATGTTCCCATTCATTTTAGGTTCAGGTCATGCTTCTCTGGCCACAGCCTTCACTTGGATTTTAAAAGTCGAGTTACTCATCAAAGTCTCCAGGACATGAAAGACAATCCCCAGGTATGATTTGACTAGTGAAAAAGAGGTCCAGCTGCCTTGAAGCATAAGATCCCCTCAACTCCAATGTCTATCACTAGTATTCAGTGTTGGCAAGGATCCCAGGCCACAGAGCTGTGGCTTCCTGCAGCCGCTCTGGGGAGTGACTCTCCTGGAGCATGTGATGTGGCCTTCCATTGTGCAGGACCAGCCCAGTGGCATCCTTTCAACAGCTCTGGCAAGCAGCCTTTCCAAGCACTGTGCCATCTGAAAACAGGAGGCATTATCTTTCACATCCTAGGCACACGCCCTAGGGAGTGGTCAGGCTTTTGTCTAGTTCTCAGCAAACTAGCTGCAGCTCCATTCCTTACTCTCACACTCAAGAGAGATACTAGAAGTGAGAGTAGCCTGATATGATGCTAACCCTGAGTTGCTTTTATTTAAATTAAAATAAGAGTAAATCAATCAGGCATGGTGGCTCATGCCTAAAATCCCCAAATTTTAGGAGATCAGGGAGGGTGGATCATGAGTTCAGGAGTTCAAGACCAGCCTGGATAACACGGCAAGACCTCATCTCTACAAAAAGTACACAGATTAGCTGGACATGTTGGTGTGCACCTGTAGCCCCAGCTACTCTGGAGGCTGAGGTGGAGGATCACTTGAGTCCAGGAGGTAGAGGTTGCAGTGAGCTGAGACTGTGCCACTGCTAACAATTAATTAATTAAATTAATAAATCATGCCACTTTGATTTATTTATTAAATAAATAAGAGCAAATCACTCACAAATTTAGAGCTTTTATTAGCAAAACATTACTTAGGGAACCCAAATAAATAACATGGGGTTGACAGCCATTGTGCTAACTGGCAGCCCCTGGCAAAGTCAGCACAAGCTCAAAGCCAGGATTATGCTGGTCACTTAAGTGACAGCTATTGTGAATTGCTGTTCTCTCAAGAAAAAAGAACTGATTTCTGTGGTAAACCAGGCACTGTGCTGGGTGCCTTTACAATTCATCACCACACCACCTAATGAAAGCAGCATTTTTCAGAAACTGTAGTGGTCAGGCTTTCTCAAGGCCTGAGTTCTTTTCCACCAGAGCATATTGTTGTCCTATTATCCAAAGTTCTCTCAGGAAAAGAATTGACGTAAGACCCACACGGCTCCATTAAATCTTCTGGCTACTTGATGGATTTTCATACTCCCTACGTCTGGGGTTGGTAGGTACTATCTTCTTTCTCCTCTCTTATTCTTCCTTTTTATTCCATAAAATACAGGAATATTCTTGTACATTAGTCCTTGCAGCAACCTTGGAATTACCACATTCCTCAAACAAGTTATGGAAGCCAGCTGCCAATATTGGTCCCTGCTTAAACAGTGAATTTTGTTGTTCCATAGAGTTACTACTGAAATACCTAAGCCCATTTGTAAAATATAATTTAGTTGATCTGAAGGCTGTCTCGAAAGCAGTTTTATGTAGTTATTACAGAGAAGGACTAATTTTAAGACTATTTTATTGTTTAAAAAACATGTAAACATTTTATGGATGCACTAGTGAAGTAAAGACCAATAAATGAAGCAGTAACTTTAATAAAAGGGTAAGTAAAATGTCACATCCTCTGCCTATATTCAGGTCTGTTAGGTATGTGTAGTTAAACGTAGGTATGTTAGTTGATAAATATTTATTTAAGCATTTCTTTATGTCTACTCATTAAAAAGAAAGAAAAGATTAAAAGAATCTTACTATGTGAAAAACTGCCCACCACTGGGGGAAAGAATTTTATTATGCAAAGCTTCAATGTTATTTACAGTTTAGACTTCTGTAGATATTGAAGGCTGACGTTAAGATAAAGAAGTTAACCCTGTCCTGTCTTGGAGAAGGTAGAAAGAGATGAGAATGAATACAATTCAGGATCTAATTCTGGTCTTTGATGAGGGATCAGCATATAGTTTTGGGAAGAAAGACAGGTTAAGAGGCATGTGGAACTCTCAAACGCATCACTGTGTCTGCCAACATAGATGATAGGCAGCAAGGTTACATCTTCATGGAAAGCACGGTAATTTCCAACACTACTGGAAGTCTGGAGTGGCTAAATAATCCATATATTCAACTAGGAAGCAGCTAAAGAGATATCCTAGTTACCTAGGAAGCTTTCTGATTTCAAAAGGACATGAATACAAAGTAGAAGGAATCCACTCCCAAGGACGGACATGAGAGTAGCTTAAAATGTGAGAATAATTTTAGGAGTTTAGTTATAGACTTATGTTCCCTCAAAATTCATTTGTTGAAGCCCTAACCCCCGGTACCTTAGAACATGACTGTATTTGGGTAGGGCCTCTGAAGAGCTAATTAAATTAAGGTCACTGGGGTGGACCTTAATATAATCTGACTGGTATTCTTATAAGAGGAGGAGATTAGGACACACAGAGACACCAGAGGTACTTGTGCAGAGGAAAGAACATGTGGGGACTTAGCACTGGTGCAGCCATCTGCAAGCCAAGGAGACCTCTGAGGATTCCAATCCTACCTGCACCTTGATCTCAGACTTTTCTGGAACTGTGAGAAAATAAATTTCTTGGTTTAAGCCACCCAGTCTGTGATATTTTGTTATGGCAGCTCTAGTAAACTAATACAGATTTTAAATGTCAACAAATGTCAGTGTTTAAGCTTTGACAAAACTTTCTAAAGGAAAGTATAAAAGGTCATTTTCTTTCTTTTCAGAGCCTGATGATTGCGGGAGGGGTAAGCTAGCTGCATGGGGATCACCACGCAATACTCACGCAGGACAGAGAGAAAGCTGATCTCTTCCATTTCTTTTCCTTTTTTTTTTTTTTCTGTTGAGTTGAATGATCTTCAAACTGCAAATGAAAGAACCATTGCTCATTGGAAATAAAGGCCAAAGATGAGTGACAGGATTATAGAATAAGTCTTAGCTGTTCTAAATCCAAGTCCTTACTTGTTATGTACCCCCACCCCCAAATTCATATGTTCAAGTCCTAACCCGACACTACCTCAAAACATGACCATATTTGGAGATAGGGTCAAACATGTAATTAAGGTTAAATGAGGTCATTAGCGTGGATCCTAACCCAGTATCTGGTGTCCTTATAAGAAGAGGAGATTAGGACACAGTAAAACACAAAGGGAAGACCATGTGAGAATACAGGGACAATACTTGCAGATGGCTATCTGCAAGCCAAGGAGAGAGGCCTCAGAAGTAACCAACCCAGCCAAAACCTTGATTTCAGACTTCCAGCCTCCTCAAATGTGAGGAAATACATTTCTGGTGTTTGATCCACCCAGTCTATGGTAAGTTCCGGCAGCCCAACATGCTCATCTGGCTCAGACTTAACGATTGCTTTTGGTGATATTTATGGGGCGCAGATAACAGCCTAAACACAAGACGACAGAAATGTGGCCCAGCAGACTATGCATAAAATAGAACTGGGATATCTGGACCAATTGGAGTCTGCAGTGGGATGCGGTTACTAAAACAGTCAAATGCAACATGAGGCTCCAGGCAGAGTGGTAGGCAGCATCTGCCATGCTGCAGTAGTCAGAGCATGCGTGGAGTACTGTAAAAAGACACAGACAAACCAGAACACATCTAGAGAATGGCCAAGGTGTGGAGGGAACCAGAAAACATGCCAATATGCAACTGTTGAAGGAAGTGCCTGTTTTACCTTGTGAAGAGGAGACTCTAGAGGAAGAAGCATGAAAACCACTGGCAAATGTGTAAAGATCTGAAGTGTGGAAAAGAATTATTCTGCTTGGTCACTGGGGATACAAGGATATCTCAGTGGGAGTTTAAAGGCGGGGGATGTGAGCTTTAAATGGGGTAAGAACGTTCGAGTAACCAGAAATGCCTGAAGATAGAATGCACAGTCTGGAGAGCCGGTGAATATCTCACAAATGGAGACACTGAAACCTAGGATGGGGATGCTGTTGTAGGAATTCCAGCAGACAAGTGGCTGTTGGTTCCTTCCCCAACTCAGCAGGATTCTAACTAGGGATGTTCCTGTATTTGGTGCTTGGAGGATCTGGAAGATACCTCAGGGCAGGAAATGGCATTAAATGCAGAACAGAGGTACTGACTGAGAAGCAAAAAGCCATCAGGATCTCTGAGTAGTGAAGGAACCGGAGAACATGCAGGCAATGTCCATCATTCTGACGCAATCAGCAGCAAATCATCTTCCCCTAGGAACATCTTGACCAGGGAATGTGTCAGTGTGGTGAATTTCAACAGTGGAAAGAGAAACTGCTAAATCTAAGAACTTTAATTTTTATAGATTATGATCTCATCTCTACAATTTTGAATTTCATGCTCAATAAAAGTCTCTTACTCTTAAACTAAAACTGCCTCCTCCTTCCCAGGGCTGGCTTCACAGGCATGCAACCCTGGGAAGTCTTACAGGCCCTGCGGTGGGAGGAGCTGCCATCGACATCTTAAAATTCTTTTTTTTTTTTTTTTTTTTTTTTTTTTTGAGACAGAGTCTCGCTCTATCGCCCAGGCTGAAGTGCAATGGCATGACCTTGGCTCACTGCAACCTCCGCCTCCCAGGTTCAAGCGATTCTCCTGCCTCAGCCTCTGGAGTAGCTGGGATTACAGGCATGAGTAACCATGCTCGGCTAATTTTTGCATTTTTAGTAGAGATGGGGGTTTCACTCTGTCAGCCAGGCTGGTCTAGAACTCCTGACTTCAGGTGATCTGCTCACCTGGGCCTCCCAAAGTGCTGGGATTACAGACATGAGACACCAGGCCGGGCCTTAAAATTCTTAATTTTGAAACAAAAGGTCTCACATTTGCATTTTGCAATGGACTCTGCAAAATTTGTAGCTTTGGGCCACCTTTCTCTTTGCATTCAGATGCCTTCTTTTTTGCCTTATTTGCTCATGCAGACCTGGAACAAATAGGGAATTGCGGTGGCTTTATGTGGTGTAGAAAGTGAACAACTGGGTTTGTCCTGTCACTTTGGGCTTTTCCCTGCTGTCCCAACTTCATGTCATTTACTTGCTGTTAGATTTGGGAGTTCATTAGTTTCACTTTCCTGATGTATAAATAGATAAATAGGAATCATAATAGTAACAGCTTCTTTGGCTTTCGTAGGAAGTAAAGGACATGAAGCATACAAACAAATACTGCATGACAACAAATATTTGCCCTTTTTTGTTGAGGACGTTCAAAGGACATTCAGGGGCAAAAGTAATCCAAGGGTCAAGATTGAATGCCGAGTGCAGGGAAAGCCATGAGACAACATTTAAGGGAGCTGGTACAGAAATGACGTCCCAGGAAGGAAATCTATACCCCACTGGCTGAGCCATCCTTCCCGGGCCTAGGCACCCTTGTCGCGAAATGAGCAGGGGAGAGAACGCAGGCTGCAGTGCAGCCCTCGGAAGGGCCAGGGCACTCCCTGGCTTCAGTCCTTCCGCACAAGCCCTGTGTGGCTTGGTGACTAATGCTACTTCAGGTCAAGAGCAGGGGATACATACGGGCAGTTCTAGAGTATTCTAAACTATCTAGACACTAACTGGACAGTGGACGGTTTGTGTTTAATCCAGGAGAAAGTGGCATGGCAGAAGGTTCATTTCTATAATTTAGGACAGACACAACGAAGAACAAGGGCAGAGTTTGAGGTCAGGAGTCCTCATTTACGGGGGTCGAATACGAATAATCTCTCCTAATTTTTCCTTCGTCCCCAACTCAGGCGGATGTTACATCCCTGCTTAACAACAACAAAAAAAGACCCCCGCCCCCCGCAAAATCCACACTGACCGCCCCCTTGAACAAAACAAAACCAAAACAAACAAAAACATAAGAAAGAAACAAAACCCAAGCCCAGAACCCTCTGCTTTCAAGAAGAAGTAAATGGGTTGCCCGCTTTTTTGCCAGGTCCTGCGCCTTTCTCCTTTGGTTCGTTCTAAAGATAGAAATTCCAGGTTGCTCGTGGCTGCTTTTGACGTTGCGGGTTAAAAAATGAGGCTTTTGCTGTCTCAACAAGCAAAGAAAATCCTACTTCCTTTAAGCTTCACTCGTTCTCATTCTTTTCCAGAAACGCCTGCCCCACCTCTCCAAACCGAGAGAAAAAAACGAAATGCGGATAAAAACGCACCCTAGCAGCAGTCCTTTATACCACACCCCCGGGAGGCCTGCGGGGTCGGATGATTCAAGCTCACGGGGACGAGCGGGAGCGCTCCCGACTTTTCTAGAGCCCCAGCGTCCTAGGACTCACCTTTCCCTGATCCTGCACCGTCCCTCTCCTGGCCCCAGACTCTCCCTCCCACTGTTCCCGAAGCCCAGGTGGGCTGTCGGCCGGGGAGCTGAGGAGGGCGCGTGTGGTGCAGGCGGCGCCTAGGGCGCTGCACCTGTGGGCCCGGGGCGCGCGGGCCCCTCCCGGCGCGAGCGGGCGCAGCTCCCCGGCGGCGCCGCTAGGGGTCTCTCTCGAGTGCCGAGCGGGGTGGGCCGGATCAGCTGACTTGCCTGGCTCCGAGCCTCGCCGCCGCGCTCCTGCTCCGTCAGTTTCCTCGGCAGCGGTAGGCGAGAGCACTCGGAGCAGCGCGCGCGGGGGCCCCCGGAGACGGCGGCGGTGGCGCGGGCAGAGCAAGGACGCGGCGGATCCCACTCGCACAGCAGCGCACTCGGTGCCCCGCGCAGGGTCGCGATGCTGCCCGGTTTGGCACTGCTCCTGCTGGCCGCCTGGACGGCTCGGGCGCTGGAGGTGGGTGCCGCGCCTCGGAAGGCGGGAGGAGGCGGGCATGGCTGGGACCCAATCCCCCCAAAGACCTTAACGCAAATCTTTAATGCAGAGAAGCCGAGGGTCCGTCAAGGGGACCCCTCTCCTCTCCGCCCCCGCTTGCGGACGTCCAGCGCATCCTCGCTTTCGGCCCAGCCCTGCCCCAGGGACGCGCGCTCCGGCCCGCGGAGAGGGAGCGGGAGAGGCGCTGGGCTCCCTGGTTCCGCGCCAGCCAGGGGCGAGAAGGGGAGGGGACGACCCTGAGCCCAGACCCCGACTCAGTCCCTGCCTTGGAAGCGGGGTCCGGGGGAGGCGAGAGACATTCAGATGGGAGGAAGGGGGAAGGAGCACGTGGAAAAACCGAAAACGCAGCGTCCCTGAAGCCAGTCCTCTGCTCTTGAATCGTTGCCCTTTCCTTTCTCTTGGGCCCTGGGGAGGAGGAGGAGTCGGGACAGCCCGGGAAGCTAGGGGCCCCTCGCTTTTCCCTGCGTTCTCCGCCTCGTTTCACCTTCCCCTCTCACCCCCACCCCCCTTCCTTGTTCGAACCTCCTCTTTCGCGGCTGCTGGCGGCGGCCGCCTGGGTGCGACCCTAGCCCGAGCCGGCGCCGGGGTCGCGCACCGTCTTCCGCAGGCAAACTTTGTGCATTGCCGCGTCTCCCTTTTGTGTAAGTTGCGAGAAATGGGAGGGGTCGGAGAACCATAGCCTCCCCGCACCTTCGCCAAGCCTGGACGTCCCGGGAGTTTGCTGGCACCCTAAGCTTCTGCCTGAGAGGCAGAAGGTCCCCGGGAACAAAAGCCGCGACACCCCGCCCTCACCGGCCCGGGCGCTCTGGGCCGAGCCGCGTTAGTCTCGGTGCGCCACCGAGACTCCGGCCCGGCTCCCAGGCTGCGCGTCCGCCCTGGAGGGGGCAGAGACGCTGCCGGGGCCTCTGGTGGAGCCTTGGGGCCCCTCTGCTTCCCACCCTCGGATCACCTCTGAGGCTTAATTCCCTGCTGGGCTGTAAAGTCCTTGGCGGGGAGGAAATAAGGCGGAGAGTAGGGTGTGCGTCTGGAAAGGGCAGTGGCGGATGGTGGGGAGGCACGGGCTCTGTCCTGTGCATCCAAGGAGGCGTTTGTCTTATTAAGGCGCGGCCTGTTCCCTAACACCTCTGGGGACTCTGGGTTAGTTCCCCTGGGGGCACAGGATGCTGGGGAGGGTCCAAAGGGTCTTTTTTTTAGGGTACAGATAAAAGGATTGAATTGAGTGAAGATTAAGACGGAGAAGATGGCGCCTCTGCAGTGCAGCAAAGAAAAGCTGTGTGGAGGCTGCAGCCTAGTGAAATCCACCCACCACTAGGTGTATAACAAGTCTTCCCCATTCATCCAACTCTCGAACATTCAGCTAACGCCTGTGCACAATGACTGTTTTTCTTTACATCTAAAGATGCTTAGAAGTTGTTTGCATGACAGTTGGGCCAGAGAAGGTTGTATTTCACTTCGGTTGGATTCCTGTTTGGCATCTTAACCATTTGCAACCTTCCCTCCCCGTTTTTTCCCCTCTTTTCTCCCAACCTCCTAGTAATTTTCCAAAAGAAAAAAAGCAATTTCCGGACAGATGTTTTCCTGAGGCTGTATAGACTATCGCACCATTACAGTTTTTTAGTTCGTAATTTGCAAGGTCATTGAACTTTTTTCCCTTCTGATTTTTACCCACAAGTGGCTCAGGAATCACCTTAGGGCTAGTTAAGACAGGTTGTTTTAAGAGTTAAAGAATTTCGTTTTCCATGTTTTAAAAAAATGCTCTTAACTAAGAGAATTCAGATTTCTCTCATGACTTACATTTATTTGTAGAATTATTCCCGTTTTCCCGGTCGTAGTACAAATTAAAAACCGTATACTTAAGGAATTAAAAGCATATGATAACCTTATTTTTGAAGCTTTTGTCAAAACTTAAATATGTAACTGTTGAGCAATATTTCTGTATAAAAAGAGGAAGCGTGTAGGCAGATTCGAATTTAGTTTTTGGTCTGTTTAATTGCATTAATTTGCTCTTTCTGCCATCTTTTGGGAGCTTTTCACTAGCTATTGTTAACTCCTTTAAAGGGTGGAGGTGAGAGTCACATTATTCCATTTTGCAAAGTGTTGATAGAAGGGTAGGTAATTCAGTCTACTGAGGTTTGAGAGTGGTTTATCTGGCCCTCTCTGTGTCCACTGAAAAGATGTAATTACGAGTTGACTCTCTTTTATAGAGCTTAGAAAATAGGTCTGCTGCAGGTGGCTGTAAAAAAGAAATGAATAAGGGCAGTGATAATGGGGCCTTGGCTTGCAGGGGAAACATGGTTATTATCTGGGTGGATGATTTTGGCTAGTATGTTGATAGAGATGTGAGTTTAACCCTAATCTATATGATGTTTCACTACCCTAATATTTATTTATTTTTAAATCTAGCTTCCTCTTAAGTTTTATTTCCCTCTCTTGAGGGTTTAACCTAGTCACAATCATCTTACCTTTGTGGTAGTGCTAATTTATAGTTTATGGAAACCTACTGCTACTGACTAGTACCTCCCTAAAGGTAGAAGCCCACACACAGAATAGTAAAGCTCAGGTTTAATGGTGATCTGTAAGGAGTCATGGTTCTTGCTAATCGGTGAGAAACCATGATAACTGGCAGACTGCAGAAGCTTTTTCTCTTGTCACTGTGACCAGCAGAGGCTCCTGAACGACACTTGCAAGGCTATTAGTACTGCGGAGAAGTTGCTAAATGGAATAATACTGGTCCTGACTGAGGAAATGAAAAGGAACATGCAATTTCTCAAGGTTAAATGAGGAATGACTGATTAAAAAAATTTAAAAATAAAAAAAGTGATCAACTGAATATTGGCTTGAAGGAATGGGAGAGGATATCTTTATGTTAAGTCTTGTTGCTAGAGGATCTCTATTTTATGTTACTGTTTTTTGCATACTAGAGTCTTCTACAGATATTTGTATGCATGTAGTCAGTCATTCTGGAAATAAGCATAGCTATTACTTGCCTTTCACGTGGCCACTAAACTATCATTGAGAAATGCATTAAATTCAGTAGAAATGTACGTTGTTTCTGCAAATTGTATTACCTTGAGAATCTTACGAAGCATCTTTCATTAATACATTTCTTTTAAAATCTCTATCAATCACAAATGTAAAGATCAACCTGTGCAGATGCTTTTTAAATGTAAAGCTTCCAGAATGTAAGGTGTAGTTTGACTGCATACCTTATTACTTCCCCTTCCCTCCTCCCTCCCCTTACTGCCAGGAAGTTTGCAGGGTAAATAAAACATGCACATGATAACAAAACAAAGTGGAATGTACTAAAATACCAAAAGGAAAATACAGATTAAGTATACTGAGTAAATATGTTACAGAGAAAACTTCCTGTATTTAAAAACTATAGGAATAATGGGATGAGATAATAGATAATCCTGGAGCATTTCCTGGTAGTAAATTTCCAGCCAGGTTTGTATCCCAAGTCTGGGGATTTGAGGTTAAGTTTTTGCATATACAATATGTGTTTACATTCCTCTCTGCCTCTCCCAGACAGACAGACACACACACACACACATATACATCTGTCTGACTGTCTCTCTCTCTCTCTCACTTGAGTGACAGATGCTGGTGCAGGGTACTCCCAAGAGGAGTAGGGAATTCGAAATAAGGAGTTGAGAGGTCAAAGGTAAGGGGCTGAATGCAGGACCAGAGAGCTTCAGTAGCATCACAAAGTGATTCCCTGAGTGGCAACGAGGAGGATAGGGAAAAAATCATATTTTCTGTTTGTGCTTTTTGTCTGGTGGTTTTCAACCTCTCTCTGTTTCACTTGACTATGCTTGATTATGAAATCTTTTTTTTTTCTTTGTTAATTTAAAGATCTCAACTGGCTTTGTTGTGATTCTACATTCAGGCAACACTATTCCATAAAATAGTGTAAATGTTCCCATGAGTTCAGCAGAGGAGATCGGCTCTGTAGACAGAAAAGGGCTGAAGAAAACAAACAGAAAAATCTTTTCCTTTTCATCGTGAGAGCTCAGATGCAAACGTACGGAGTGGGGATGGACGGGAAATGCTGTCACCCCGTGGGTCTCACAGCCGGTGTACAGATACACCCTCATGAGTGGGTGGGGGAAGACAGAAGGTGGCAGGGGAAGGAATGAGCACACCCGAGAATGAGTAGCAAGTTTAATCAATAAAAATACGTCTTTCTTTTTTTTATTGTTGTATAAGAAGAAAAGCAGACAGAACTCAAACCCTGAAGCTGGTTTGGCAAGTGAAAACTTAGTAAAGGGGGAAATGTTACGTAACTATTTCTTCAGTTTAGTGTGGATAGCTTAAGAAATAACCGTTACTGTGAGGACACTGGCATTTTTCTTGGAAGAAAAGTTTGGCACATTTTCCTCTTTAATCTTGGTTAATAGATACGCTTGACCGGTACCTCTTTAGAAGTAGAAATCTAGCAAAGACTGGAGTACAATGATTGCTCTAGGAATAAATTCACATATTTAAATTTAACAGCCTGGATATGTTCATCCATTAATAACTTCATGAAAAAGGGATGCTGAATAGATTAGATAGCGGACTATTCAAAGAGGGCCACATGAAGTCTCAGGTTCACATGCATTAAATC